CCGACGCTGCTGCTATAGCATGCTCTCCATCGAGTAAAGTGTTCCAAGTTGTTGAACTCAAATGCATAAGTATGAAGTCAAACGATTTGAGTTTGAATACCCTGTCACTACTCATGTATCGATTAGATCCCTAAGGGAGCACCACCGCATTCATTACAAATACCATTTGGATGCCTCAATCACGCGTTAAATAAATTAGGGTTACAGAGTTTCTGTAGGCACTTCATCGACCGTTGGAGCTCTTGATGAGATCGTGGAATCGTTCCACTATAGGTATTCCTGTTTCATGACCCTTTTTATCTACAGGTTGAACTAAACCGAAGAGCGGATTGAAACACTACGGGGAGGGGTTTTTGCTGTAATCAATCAAGTCATACACCTAGGGCTAGCGCACTTGACTGCGGTGCCCAGTGATGATGAAATCGCACATCAATGGACACTCCACTTTCGAATCGTTCCCTGACATCCCTTATACAGTTCAACTTCATTTATACATGATTGTTTGTTTACTTTTTCCCGTAGAGTTCAGTTCAATCTGTTCCAGGCTAAACCTAGAGCTTGTTATCGGACAGGTAAATCCATTATCTAACTGCCAAGGTGGTACTCCAACTAAGTAAGTAGCTTTCGTTCTCATTTCCCTTCTCATGTTTATATTCACATTATTATTTCATTGTTGTAGTATATCACTTGTATGATGACATCGTGTTTAATCTACCACACTCTGTCATATGAACCAAGGCATTGATTATTTTATTTGAGAATTCGGACAATTCAGTGAATAGCATTCCTCATAGGAGGAGAGTAGGAATACGGAATTGAGGGTAGAGACTGCTATCACCGAATCAGGCAACTTGTCGAGAATTTTTACAACTGATGTCACAAATAAGACTGCAACAAAAGAGACACGGTTTCTTTGATACAAACCTTCTTCAATTATTATAGCAAGTCACGTGAAAGTTTGTTCATAATGATCAAAACTGAACGGAACACATGTTTGATTCAACCTACGCTTTATGGTCGACATATTTGTATTTAGTTACAGGGTGGTCAAATAATTCCCGAATTCAGATGGACAAATAAACCACAATTGCACCCAATCACTATGTGTGTGTGTGTGTGCGCGCGCGCCCGCCCGCGGCACCGTGAACCATATGCAGCCTAGCCCAAGTTGTTTGCGTATCGATTGTGCCCGAGACCCACGGCCTGTTATGTGGATCGATTCGTTCGTTTCACGTAACCATGCAAAGTATCACTGTGCTCTGTCTGATAAGGATCGACGGGACGGGACGGGGTGGGTGGGTGTGGTACGTGACTACGTCGAATTGTTAGTTGCACAAAATACCATATCTTGGTGAAATTTGAAACTAAATTACACCACGAAATTCATTGGAACCGTGTTCACCAAGGGAAATTCCCACTATCAACCAGAATCGAAACAAAATGNAAATGTTGATAAGGGACAATTGTTCGTTTTGTGGTTCCTGCCCCCTGGAACAGAATTCATATTCAGATGTGCTCAGATGTATAAGTAATATTGAGGTTATCAACTGACCGCAGAAACCATTGAGCCTGATCGGATCTGAACAATTGGGACACATTTGAGTTTGATGCAGGGTTCCAAACCCAGATGAGGCTCCAATGTGTCACAATCAAGGGCTAATAAAAGCGTGGTATTAGTATTTCTATCAGCAATATCATAACTTGAGTAAAATGCATATTAGAAGGCAGGAAAAAATGTGGACCGAAAGCCCGAATTGATAATTTAAGTGCAATAATATACATACGCTGTTCCAATGCTCCCCATACACGTCAAACCCGTTTTGTCACGACTGTAACTGGCAAGTTGAATTCTGTCAACTTTTACTTCAACGCTTCCATTTAGTCCAACCTGAAACCCACGCGTTTTCTTGTATTGATTAACAATAGTCACTATTCAATATAGAGACTATGCGCGTTTTCTTTTCTCTCACTCCAGAAACAAAAATAAAAGAGCTTTTGTGAATGACTTACACGGACTCCGGTACAGAACCGTGAGATGTTCCATTTTTCACAGAACTCGGTTCGAAATCCATTAGTGCACTGTTACACGAAAGATTTATTGCCTCCACACTGATATCACTTGCACCTGTGGTAGTTACTAATGTGGTTGTTGTTGTTGTTGTTGTTGTTGTTGCTGCTGACGCCGTCACGTTGGACGCACTGATCGTCATCGCCGTCGCGGTCGCGGTCGCCGTCGCCGGGTTCATCATCATCATCATCATCACATTGTTTTGCGCCTCGTTACGGGTCTGTTTCAATTCGACCGGTTCGGTCGGGGTAGGGGAAGAAAGGCCGAGTACGGCCATTTGGGCCAGAGCGTGTTGAAACGCATTCACGACGGAGGGAGGCGCAGTGGACAATGCATTGGACCAGTGAGCCAGTCGGCTCAATGCATCCTCAGTTGGGACGGAATGGGTATCAACCGATGCAGGACCGACGAAACCAGGACGTGAAAGCAGGGTCACACAGGGATTGGGGTCTTCTTGTGTACGGGTCGGAGGTAGAGTGGTTGTGGGTGTTGCGGTTACCGTTGTTGTTCCAACGGTTGTGGTTGTCGGATGCATTCCGTTTCGAGACGTCTTCTCCCGTGCTAGTAAGCTTGAGAGGTTGACCAATTCTCGAAGTGCAGTATCCGGTAAACCACTGGTTAATCCATATAG